CTGCCAGGAGGATGGGGCGGGGCGGGAGTGAGGAGTGAGCAGGCCGTGAAGACCGGTCGGGACGGTGTAGTGGGGGGTCAGGGGGGTTGAGAGGAAAACCCAGAGTACTGAAAGCTCCACACACAGGCGACCTTGGCAGGGGGCTGGAATGGAGAGGGCAAGCCAAGAGAGGCCAGAAGCCTTGGTGAGCAAGAGGAAGAGGCATAGCTACAGAAAAATGGGCAGGGTGCTGGGGCGCCTCGGCCTGGCATCAGATCTGCAGCTTGTTATCCTTTCTGTGCAAACAAATGAAGACACCAGCCAATTAATCCAGCAATTCTTTCCAGCACCTATTTAGTGAGATGCCAGGTATTCTGCCCTGGGGGTACAAATACAAACAAAACAGCACTAGTCCCTGACTACACAAACAGAGCCTACTGTGGAAAACAGCACGGAAGGGCCATAGTGGGAGTGAGGGAGGAGTGAAGGGAGCACAGGGCAGAGGCCCGACACCATCTGGGGGTGGGTATTCTGGAAGACTCAAAAGATGAATGTGATTACCAGAGGGGGCAGGGGCGTTCCAGCTGAAAGCAGCGCGCACTCAGGGCACGTTGGAGCTGCAGGTGGCCAAATCCAGACGAAGCAGCTAGAGAGCCCCACAAATGGAGCTCCTGCCTCTCCAGGGAGCGGCCCACTAGACCTCTGGCTCCTGAAAGCCCTGGTCTCCACGCAATGCACAAGACTTGACGTACAACAGGAGCTCAATGGGCGACCATTAGTGGTGGAATCAGAGGCTGGGGCAACAGAAGCTCCTGGGGTGTCTCCGTCATTTTTAGGAACTTCCCAATTCCTAAAATTGAAATCCCCATTAATTATACAAAGTTTGGGGCCAGCAGATAGCATAATGGTTACGTTGCTGGATTCCCACGTGGTGGACCGTGGTTTGAGTCCTGGATCCAGCAGCTAGAAACACGCCAGGTGCATGTGCACGTGTGCCCAAAAAACCTGAGAGGAGAATAGAGGAGAAAGGATTGCAGCATGGCCACCTCCCCTGGGAGTTGATTTCTCACTTTTTGTCTCTCTGGAGAACACATATGCCCCATAGCAAAAATACATATATAGAAAGTCTTTTGTTTCACAACAAAGATGAAAGACTAAATTTATAATCGTTCATTATGCTATTCAAACTCACTAGAAGAATAGGCAAAATGTTAAAGAGGGCTGACCCCATGCATGGGGAGCCTGATCCCACGTGATGACCACGGTGTGAATCTTGGCCCCGGCAGCTTGAAAACTAAGCCAAGAATACGTGTGCTCAGGATCCCCAGGGGAGGAGGAATGGAAGAAAGAGGGCTGTGGCATGAGAAAGCCCCACCGGAGGCACTTTCTTTCTGGTGCGTGCACGTGGGCTCTGGCACGTACACACACGTAAAATCAGCCCCTTGTCCCTCCTGGGAAGGGTACAGGGAAAGCCCAGGTGAGCAGGGAGAGTGGGAGGGAAATCCTGAACACATCACCTTTCTGCCCAGGGCTAGAATTCTCTTCCCTCTGCTGAGAAAGGCCAAAGAAAAGCTATGCAGGACAACATGGATGATGGTTTTCGTTTATTAAAATGAGTTCCGGGACCAGCAGGTGCTGGACACTCCCACATGGCCTAACACGGTTTGAGTCCCAGACCTGGTGGTTTGCTTTCTCTCTCTCTCTGTGGTCAAATTAAATGAATGAATAATAAAAAAAATTTTAATCAGCTCTGAGAGAGATCTTCCATCCCAGATAATTCACTAAGGTATTTGAAGATGCTGTCACAGGCTGTGTTATAATCTGTATGCTGAGAGGACAAATGTCACCCTGGGAGACAAGGCTCCACGGGTCTCCCGTCATTCTGGCCATCTTTTTTTTTTTTTGGAGAGGTTTTTGCTATAGGGCACGTGTGCTCGCCAGACAGACAAAGACAGAGAGACAGAAAGCGCCGCAGTCCCTTCCCCTCCATTCTCCTCTCGGGATCTTGGCCACGCACACACAGTCCCTTCCCCTCCATTCTCCTCTCGGGATCTTGGGCACGCACACACACGTGTCCACTGTGAGTTTAAGCCACCGGGTCCAGTACTCGAACCACGGTCGACTACATGGGAGTCCAGCGACATAGCCATTACGCTAACTGCTGGTCCCGATTCTGCCCGTCTTGTGAGCAAGGCACTCAGTGCTCGTTGTTCCAGGCTATCATTTCAAGGACACTGGCATTGGAAATAGCCCAAAAGAAGAGCGTGTTTCTGGAGCCCAGGTGAGCACACTTTACTGCTTATTATGAAACACTCCCAGGCCAGCTGGTGGCATGGTCAAGGTGGCTGGATCCCACGTGGCCTACTGCACAGTTCAAGTCCTGGACCCAGTGGCTTGAGAAACATGCTGAGCGTGTGTGTGCATGGCCAGAATCCTGAAGGGAGGCAGAAAGGGAGAAGGACTGTGGCGTGGCCATACCCCTTAGAGGGGTGCTTTCTCACCCTCCCTCCCCCAGCAAAGGCACACTCTGACAAGTTTAAAAACAACAACAAAAACACCGAGGCCAGCTGCAGGGATGCACAGGCAATGCCACCGCTTGGGAGCTGGGAGCCATGGCACGGGAGGCACAGGCTAGAAGGCTGCGCCACCTGGACACGCAGGGAGTGCTCGTGCATGCCCGTAACCCTGGCTGATGAGGCAGCGGGGGCAGGAGGGTCACAGCGGAGCAAGACCCCGTCAAAAATACCTGTGTCTCTCTTCCTTTCCCTTCTCTCTCATAAGGCTGAAACATGGAATTTCGTAAACTCAGAGTCCCTCTCCTGTAACGCCGCCTGCTGCCTGTACACGCAGGGGATGGTAATGCACATGCCTGCACGAACAGAAGCACTGTTCGGCCCACACGCGCCACCCGCCTGGGCTTGGAGGCAAGAGGAACTATGCAAACACGCCAAAGCTCCCACTGCTTGCTGGGTGAGTGATAAAACCCTCTGAGAAGGACCCAGGAGTCTCCCGTCTGCACACCTGTGACACCGCGGCAGGGGAACTTGCTAGCACACTGGAGGGTAACGGCTCAGACCCTGGCCCTTCTCAACACCCACTTCTTGGAAAAAGTCGCTCTCACATTTCAGTTCTCCTGGCCATTCCCAATAAACGCACCCAGACAGTGTGTGTTCCCGCACCGCTGGCTGTAACACAGGTTTATCAAAGGCCGCGAAACACAGGGACCAGGCAGATGGTGTAACGGCTACATCGCTGGACTCCTACGTAGTCAACCACAGTCCCGAGTCCCAGGCCCAGCGGCTTAGAACTCACGCTGGGTGCGTGTGTGTACCCAAAATCCCAAGAAGAGAATGGAGGAGGAGGAACTGCAGCATGGCCACCCCCCCGGGGGAATGATTTCTCACTTTCTGTCTCTCCAGTAAGGCGCATGTGCCCAACAAGCAAAAATCTTTCTTAAAAAAAGGACAGCAAAAGCCTCCGTGACACACTTCCCCACTAGAGAGCTTTGACACCGCGGCAGGGGAACTTGCTAGCACACTGGAGGGTAACGGCTCAGACCCTGGCCCTTCTCAACACCCACTTCTTGGAAAAAGTCGCTCTCACATTTCAGTTCTCCTGGCCATTCCCAATAAACGCACCCAGACAGTGTGTGTTCCCGCACCGCTGGCTGTAACACAGGTTTATCAAAGGCCGCGAAACACAGGGACCAGGCAGATGGTGTAACGGCTACATCGCTGGACTCCTACGTAGTCAACCACAGTCCCGAGTCCCAGGCCCAGCGGCTTAGAACTCACGCTGGGTGCGTGTGTGTACCCAAAATCCCAAGAAGAGAATGGAGGAGAAGGAACTGCAGCATGGCCACCCCCCCGGGGGAATGATTTCTCACTTTCTGTCTCTCCAGTAAGGCGCATGTGCCCTACAAGCAAAAATCTTTCTTAAAAAAAGGACAGCAAAAGCCTCCGTGACACACTTCCCCACTAGAGAGCTTCTAAAGGGACAGGAGGCCTAAGGCCCAGTCTTCATAAGGGGAAAGTGAAAGTCTAAAAAGAAAACAAAAAATAAACAATGCATAGAAAGCGTCTGGGAGAAAAGGTTTTTATAAAATGATCCCCTTTAATTCCCTGTATCCCGTGATTAGCAGTCGATGCTGTCTGAAGTACACGAAGACAGCTATCTCTATAAAGCGAGATGCTTTCCGCTTGTTTCGAGGCAGACCCCTAAGCCAAGATCCACATCTCTGGACGGACCTGAGTTTCCAAGGGCCCGAAATGGTCTTTGATCTTCCCGAACCACTTGTCTTCGAATTCTGCTGAGGATGCAGTCACCAAGGCGGCCAGGGCTGCGGAGCCGACACACTTCACCTCCGACTGGATGTCATCTTTTATTCTCTCTGGGGTGACGTCTTCTCCCATAACCTGGAGCAGGGAGAGAAAAGGCCGCAATGAAAGAGGCGGCAGGCACGGAATGGAAGCCCACGCATGATGGCAAAGGCTTGGGTACTGGAGCTGTGGGGACACGTTTAAGAGAGAGAGTCTGAGGTGTGGGGACATGTGCTGAGCAAACACCACATCAGGCTGCCTGTGTCCGTTTCCACTCTATCTTTTTGTCTCATTTTTTCTGCTTCTTCCATAATAGCGCTAAGCCTGGGGGCGGACGCCAACACTGGAGCAGAGAGGACTGTAGCAGCCGGCAGGCACTTCCAACACACCGAAAGGCTGTCTGTGCACGGGAGCAGTGCGACGACCACATACGCACAAGGTCCCGAGCTTCCACTCTCACGCAGCAGCACCAGGCGGCCTACCTGGAGCACCCACTCAACCTCTCCCTCTCAAAGAGCACATCCTGTGGGTGAGAATGAACTGCCAGGGGCTCTCCCCCCCTTGAAAATGGCTGGAAAGGGTGGAGCAGACCGTGGGACACACCTGGGCTCACACACACGGATTCATAGCTTTTGTCTCCTACGTGCTCTCTTCTTCTCAAACAAGTCAAAACCAAGTAGCGAGTAGCTGGGACCACCCTTTCCTGACCTGGAAAGAGCCCTCAGTCTCTCTGTAACCCAAGCAATCGGGATTTAATGAGCATGTTTATCCAATGAAGTACAATACTGCCCCCTACTGGTCACAAACAGCCCAGTCAACACGGGTCACCTCCCCAGATCCCAGGTTAGTTTTTCTTTGGGAAGACATCAGGAGCTAGACAGAATCTACTATGTGGTAATGGCAGTGAACTAAAACTAACTTCCCAGTTTATTCAACATGACATGGAAGGTTCTGCTGCCATCCAGCAAGGTCACTGTAAAGGTATTTAGTCGTTGGATTTGGACTGGATGACCTCTATGGTTCCTAGCAACTTGCAGATCCAATGTGTTCATGAAAACTCAAATCATAATGAATTAGAAGCCAAAGAATTATGTCCACTGTGGCTGGATCTTCAAAGGTTACATACTACTTGAGAAAATTGCTCATAGATGCAGAGTTTCACCAGGCAGTGGTCAGTATTTATTAATGATCTTTCATTAGTCCTGAGACATTTTCTTATTTTTGTATTTTTTAACAAATATTTTATTTATTATTTAAAAACTCACCAGAGAGAGAGCACGTGCGCACGTGCATGCAAGCCTCTGGGTCCAGGACTTGAATCATGGTTGGCCAAGTGGGAGTCCAGCGCCTTAACCACCACACCACTTGCCAGCCTGTGTTTTTATTTTAGAATCTCGGAAACCAAGTTGTATCTTATAATCACTGACATTTCATAGTGAAAATGGCATCTGATTTTTCTCTAAGTGGCACATAATAATGTACCTTACAATCAGTAACTTCCTGGATTCAATTAAAGGCAGTAAAATCTGGGATAAAAAAAATATAAAAAACTGAATAAAGAGTCAGCAGGTGGTATGGTGGTTAAGGGCGCTGAACTCCCACATAGCCGACCACGGTTCAAGTCCAGAACTTGGCGGCTTGCTTTCTCACTTTCTTTTTCTCTCTTACTCTGTCTCTCTGGTCAAAAAAAAAAAAAAAAGACAATAAACCATTTTTTTAACTGAATAATAGTTAATTTCCGAACAATGAAGCATTCCAAAAGGAAAGACAGGTAAGCACCATACTCACAGGTGTCAAGAAATCTGCAGAATACTTGGCCATAATCACATTTAAAACATCGAGCCCAGCCGTGTGGTGTGGGCAACGGGGCACCACTGCGCAATGCTGGAGGCGTAATGGGGCTGGGGTTGGGATCCCGGGTCTATCTGGACACACCTGTGCGCCTGTGTGTGCCTGTGGTCCTGGCTGGCTGGGAGCCGGCAGCAGGACTGTGCCATGGCAAGACGCTGTTGAGGGTCTCCCTCCCCTAACCCTCCATGAAAGAAATAACTTGGAAAAAATCTATATGCCAAAAAAATCAGAAACACATAAAAGGATACTAAAATCTAATATAGCGAGAGATCTTAAAAATTAGTTAAAAAGAACAGTAACAGAACAATGAAGAAAAAGCATCTTCCAAAATACGAATGGCCAATAAATATATGAAAAAAATCTCTTATTAATAATCAAAGATTAGTACCCAAAAAAAACATTTTTACTTACCAAACTGAACATTTGAAAAGTAGTAATGACTTATATAAAACTGCTATTTTTGTAGGTCAAAACAACTGAAACTCGACAATTTCACACAAGTCAATCTAATGTCTAGAGTTGGAGTAGAAAAACGAGTGCTCTCACGCAGTGCTGGAGAGTCTGTAAACTGAACCAAGCTTTCGGAGTGACAATTGGAAATGTGCTTTAAGTCTTTAAAACATTCATATACTTCAATCCAATAATTCTATTCCTAGCAACACATTCTTTTTTTATTTGGAGAGGTTTTTGCTATAGGGCATGTTCACTCATCAGAAAGACAGAAAGCAAGAAATCACTCCCCGGGGGGATGGCCACGCTGCAATCCCTTCTCCTCCATTCTCCTCTTGGGATCTTGGGCACGCATGCACGCACATGTGCCTGGCGTGAGTTTAAGCCACTGGGCCCAGTACACGAACCGCGGTTGACTACATGGGAGTCCAGCGACATAGCCATTACACCAACAGCTGGTCCCGATATATATATATATATTTTATAACTTTTCTTTTTTAATAATTATTTTATATATTCATTCTTTTGTTTGTTTGTTTGTTTTTAATTTAACCAGAGAGAGACAGAGGGTGAGAGTGATAGAGGAAGTGAGAAGGCAAGCCACCAGATTCAGGACTCGAACTCTGGTCGGCTATGTGGGAGTGTCCAGCGCCTTAACCACCACGCCACCTGCTAGTCCTGGTCCTGATATATTTTATCAGAGGGAAAAAGGAGAGAGAGAACTGTTATGGAATAAACGAGATGTAATGGACAAGAAAACAAGATACAAGATGTAGAATGTCTCTGGATTCTAATTAAAACAAAACAACTATAACCAGAAAAGCATGTATAATCAAAGAATATTTAAGGATATAGGGTCATGTTCATTTCATAAGTCAAGTGAAATTAAGAGCATATAAAATGAAATGTTTATTATAATCCCAATGAAAGTCTGGACAGTTGTCCTTGTTTTAAGAAGCTCCACCGTTAGGTCACGTGCATTGTCCAGGTAGAAAATACTATTCCTCTCCATCAACAGACTTGTTGAGCCTGCAGGATCTAAGAATGTTTAAGGTACGTACGGTCTTCCCTATAGGAAGCTATAATAAAATCTAATTGGAAAGATACAATACATTCTTCTATCTTGTTTGTTTGTTTTTGCCGTAGGGTGTGTGTGTTCACGAGAAAGAGGCAGAAGGTGAGAAATCACCTCCAGGGGATGGGCACACGGCAATCCCTCCTCCTCTCAGGATTTTGGGCATATACGCACGCACACCTGGCATGTTGCTCAAGCCACCAGGTCTGGAACTTGAACCAAGGAGTCGGCCATGTGGGATCCAGGGCCTTAACCTCCCGCCACCTGCTGACCCTTATTCTTATCTGTTTAGGGCCCAAATTTCAAGCAATCACTTAATCTAGGCTCAAAGGAAAGAATGTGTTCAGGGAAATCTTCTGGAAGATATGACACTGCAGGTGGGTCTTTGAGGATGGGAAGAGTAAGGAGGCAGAGGCAGGGTGCCCGGGGCCAATCTGCTAGACACGTGCAGAGCAGTCTAGTGGGAGCAGAAGGTGGGGAACTGCTAGGTGGTGAGTCTGGGGTTACTCTCTAGCAGGCCTTAAACACATCTTGGCGCCTAGACCAGAGCTGACCCCAGAGGTGATGGCAGCAGGCACGTTTTTGTCTCCCAGCAAGCAGGTGATATGGTCAAAGTAGTGTTTTCAGATGGACCCAGAAGCCGCTCAAGACAGGCATGGGAGTGAAAGCAAGGCAGTCAGGCAAGACAGGCCAGGAGGTCACTATGAGGGGAGACTTGGGGTGCAGGACTAGGTGTGGCAAAGGGCCCTGCACGAGCGTGGGCTTGGCCTGGCCAAGAGCAGGGAGGAAGAGGCCCAAGCTGGGTGGTTCCAGGTAGGAGGAAGACAGCCAGACAGCAGTAAGGGAAAGACGGACGGAACGGGTTCTCCGTGCTGGCTCTCTTCCGACACCTCTGCTGCTTCTCAAGTCTCCCTGGCAGCACTCCGCCATCCTCGGCACGAGGGGCATGAAGGGCTGGCAAGGCTCTGCGAGGAGCTCAGTTAGACATTCGGTACTTGAGGTGACAGCAGAGTGACTGACGATCACCTCGGATCAACCACCCAGTACATTATTAATTGGAGACATAAGACAGGAGTTCCAGAGACGAGAGTAGAGATGCTGGCCGGAGAGCCACTCGCCCAGCAGTGACAGCTGACAGGAATGGCGTGCCATGAACTTTGTGGGAGAACGGTGGAGGGAGCAGGGAACCGGGGTGAACTCCTAGAGAACGCCATTCCTTACAACACCGAAGAAACTCGTGGAGTCCCAAAAGGCAGAGGAATACGCGGGAAGCAGACTAGCGCAGCCTCTTGGAAGTGGAGACAAGGACAGTGGCCACGAATGCTGTGGAAAGATACTGGAAAACACTGGAAGGCAAGGCTCAGGTCCAGCGACAAAAGGCGGGGTGCCTGCGTGTCTGCGGGCTTGACAGAAAGGCCCGTGGAAGGTGAAAGGTTGAAAAGGCTGCAAAGGCAGATGAGAACATGATCCCAGACAGGGCAGGGGCATTGAAAAGAGAGATGACATGGCTTCGGGAGGGAAGAAAGGCACTTGGCAGGAGTCGGTGTGCAGTAAGTGTATCTGGAAAGAATGACGCTAGGACATGAACGAATAGCGAGTTATTCTCATGGGACAAGTACTCGAGCTGCGAGTTCCACTTAGTAGTAAAGGGAGTAGCCTGAAGGACTTAAAGACGTGAATCATCTCCACGGGACCAGCAGATGGGGTACTGATTATGCTGCTGGATTCCCACATGGTCAATCATGGTTTGAGACCCAGACCTGAAGGCTCGAAACTCATGCCGGGCGCGTGTGCCAGAGGAGAATGGAGGTGAAGGGATTAGTGTGGCCATCTCCCTGGGTGGTGATTTTTCGCTTTCTGTCTCTCTGTCACTCTAGCGAGCACATATACCTTGTAATAAAATCTTTCTAAAAAAAAAAAAAAAAGTAAAAAGACATAAATCATCTCCAAATGTCATCTTAAACCAACTCAACAGGAAGGGCCGGCAGGTGGTGTGGTGGTTAATAAGGGCACTGGACTCCCACAAGACTGACCATGGTTCAAGTCCCAGATCTGGTGGCTTGCTTTCTCACTTTCCCTCTTTCTCTCACTCTGTCCCTCTCTGGGCAAATAAAAGTAAATAAAGTTAAATAAAATAATTCTTTTAAAACAAAAATGAACTCAACAGGGGACCAACAGATGGAGTAATAGTTACATCACTGGACTCCCATGTAGTTGACTGTGGTTCGAGTCCTGGACCCAGCAGCTTTAAACTCATGCTAGGCGTGTATGCATGTGTACCCAAAATCCCAATAGGAGAATGTAGGAGAAGTGATTGTGGTGTGGCTATGCCCCCTGGGTGGTAATTTTTTGCTTTCTGTCTCTCTGGCAAGTGCACATGCCCAGTAGCAAAAATCTCTCTTTAAAAAAAAAAAACAAAAAACTCAACAGTAGGGACCAATAGATGGTGGACCTGTTACATTCCTGGACTCTCACATGGCTGACTGCAGTTCAAGTCCTGGACCCAGTGGCATGAAAACCATGCCAGGTGCATGTGAGTGCATGTCCAAGATCCCAGGGGAAGAAGAGAGGAGAAAGGATTGCGGCATGGCTACCCTCCCAGAGACGTGCTTTCTCACTTTCCCTTTCACTGTGTCTATCTCTCTCTCTCTAGTGAACATACATGCCCTAAGGCAAAAACCTCTTTAAAAAAAAAAAATCTCAACAGTACATTTGACAAAAAGTCAGCTTTAAAAAAAACCAAAAAGCTAGTAAACGAAAATAAAAACAATAAAACCTGACATCGGCATTTCTCTGCAGCTATCAAGTACTAAGACAGAAATGCAGAAAGAAAACCAACTTGCAGGGCTAGCCTGTGGCATGGCGGTTACGGTAGCTGGGTCCCAGATGGTCAGCTGCACTGTGGTTCAAAGCCCAGACCCGGCAGCTGAAGAAACAAAATCCTGTAAGGAGGGAGAAAGGGAGGGCTGCAGCGTGACCATTCTCCATGGGAGTGCTGTCTCACTTCCCCTCTCTCTCCTATCTCTGGCAAGTACACACATCCTCTGGCAAATTAAAAAAAACAACAAAGAATACAGATCTGTAGGGGGCACACATGCTTTTAGACCAGTAGACCAGCTAGCCACTGAAGATCCGACTTTTGCTGAGTCACAGCCCTTTCTGAGCCTCGATCCCTACTCTGCCTGCCCTGCCAGGCTGCTGTGAATGAGGGTGAGTGGAGGAACAATGCACGCACGAAGCCGCTGCACACACGTGGGCCTCCTTCACCGTCTACACCGAGCCGGCAGACATCCTTGGGCACCATGGCGTGAAGGCAGGCAGATGCCAGCAAGCGGCGACAGACATAGTCCCTGCTATCTAGCATGCTGTGGGGGACGAGCATGAAGAGGCCACGTTGGTGACTGCTGAGTGTTCACAAGGCACATGAAGAATGAGAGGGAGGCCTTCCATAGATGAGATTCGGCTGTTTTTTAACATCGGTATTGGAGCCTGGAAAAACGTTTATGATGCCACGTTTCACATAAGCCCAAGGGGATACACTCACCTCAGCTATCAACAACAAAGCATCTTCCTTGAAGTGGAACCCTTTCATTTTATCTTCAATTTCCTGCTGGGTCCTTAAGTTCCTCTCCAAAGCGAACGACGTCTGCTGGGATTGAGTGAGCTGAAGCAAAAGCCTGAAAAACCCAAAGTCCCGGTGTACAGGCTCCAATAAAGAAAAGCACGAGGGAAAGTTCGCAAAGACCAGGTCTTCAACTGGACGCGAGTCCCACTAGGCCAGCGAGAAGGCACCCACCCTCACTAGGACCAACAGTCCAACCCCTACTGCTCCTTTCTCGGGGTGAACGGCCAACTTTACACTGGAGAGTCACTGTCTCTAAACCTGCAGACCAAGGAACCAGCAGTTAGCATAACGGCTGTGTCGCTGGACTCCCACGTAGTCGACCGTGGTTCTAGTCCTGGACCCGGTGGCTTAAACTCACGCCGGGCACGTGTGTGTGCATGCCCAAGATCCCAAGAGGAGAACGGAGGAGAAGGGATTGCGGCATGGCCATTCCTCCTGGGAGGGTGGTTTCTCGCTTTCTATCTCTATGTCTCTCTGTCTTTCTGGTAAGCACATGCGCCCTACAGCAAAAATCTCTCCAAAAAAAAAGAAAACTGTAGACCCAAACTTCTCAAAGAAATCTTTACAGAGCAAAACCTCAAAATCTTCAGGGAACACCACCTCGACTTCCTATAAAGCTGAGTATTGAAAGCATAATTAATTTGGAGTTAAAAGAACAAGCCTCCCAATCAAAGACTCCTCCCACACAAGTGTCTGGATTTCTCCCTTTCAAGTCGGCGTCCTCTGGCGCCTCCAGCTTTGGGACCCACAGCGATTTGCCCGTCAGGGCCATTAGACTCACCAGCACATGTCAACTACCAGGGCAGGGCCAGATCCTTGATGACCCCACGTGACCACTGAGCAAATGCTGTGCCACCAAACTTCCCATCGAGAGCACAGCCTGGTCTCTTCATTCTTCCTCCTGTCTGGGCTCCTTCTCTTTTTTTAAAAAAAATACTGACTATGCAGATTTTTCTAATTTTCCTGATCTCCCTGGCCCCTACCACTCTGCCCAGAAGCACTCGGCTCTCCTGTCATATGGACGACTGTCCCCCTGCCCGGGACACTGAGATGCTGGTGAGCAAAGCCCACAGGTGCCTGCCTCGCACAGTTTAAGGAGACACTGCAAACACGAGATTTCAGACAGTGCTAAGTGCTGGCAAGAAGTTGGAGACAGGTGGTTTCAAGGTCCCCTCTTAGTGCCTTCCCGAGAACCAGTCAAGCCAAGGCCTGGGGGGAGCTGGCAAGGGAATACATGGGAGAGTGGGCTTCTTGGCCAGCGGAAGGAGGCCCTCACACAATGACCAGCTAGACAGGTTTGGAAACCATGAACATCAACATAGCTGGACCTCAGTCGGAAGAAGACCTTAGAGCATATCACCACATCACCACTGTGCCGTGGAGCCCACCCGAGGTGCACGTCTTTACATTTTCCCATGTTCTAGCAGGATCCTTTGAACATGTGTCATTTCAGTGTCGATGACTTAGAAACAAAGCTGTATTTGCTCAAGAATAGAAGTTACGTCTTTGCTTAAGAAGCTGGATCCCAGGACCAGCAGATGGAGTAATGACTACGTTGCTGGACTCCCATGAAGTCAACCACGGACCCGGTAGCTTAAATTCACACTGGGTGCATGTGCGTGTGTCCCCAAGATCCTGAGAGGAGAATGGAGGAGAAGGGATTGCGGCATGGCCATCTCCCCCTGGGGGGTGATTTCTCGCTTTCTGTCTCTGTTTGTTTCTTTCTGGTGAGCTCATGCGCCCTATAGCAAAAACCTCTCCAAAAAAAAAAAAGAAGCTAGATCCCACATGGTGACCGTGGTTTGAATCCCCAGCCCGGTCTGCCTGAAACACACCAGGCACACGCATGGGTGCCCCAGATCCGACAGGCTGGAGGACTGGAGGAAGGGGATCATGGTGTGACCAGACCCCGTGGAGGGTTCTCTCCCTCTCTCACACACACATACATGTATGCACACACACTATCACAAGTAAAGGAGAAAAAATGTACACCAAGTTTTCCGGCCTAGAACTTTTTAAAGCTTAAAAATAGAAAAATAAACCTTTGCTCTGCGCTTGTCACCATGCTAACCCATTCTGCTTACCTGGCTCGAATGAAGGAGGCGCAGGCTTTCATCTGAGTCTCCGCCCACGCCGCCTCTGTCTTCTCTGCCACACAGGTTTGAGTGTCTGTAAGAGCTGTTTTCGCATTTTTCTGGCTATTACGGCTACTTGCTTCTATAGAAAACACGGAGCACTCGGGCAAGGTTTCAGGGAAACACAAAGGACAGTCTCTTCCCGAATGTGGACAGGAGCATTTGATAGTGCTGCCGCTCGGGCTGAGACGGGCCTGTGTCTGAGATGACGCCAATGATGCTGGACGAGCTGGCCTGAGATCCAGGTAAGCCTCTGCCAACTTGCCCCAGTTCCAAGGATTAAAAGGGTGCAATGAAATCAGTTTTTGCAGGCAGAAAATTGTTTTCTCCAAGTTCCGCAAGCCTGAACAAATAGCAAACTGAAGGGAGAGCACAGTGGTTAAATGGTCTGTGTTGGTGGCTTGATTTTCCTAAGGAGAAAAGGAAAAAAAAGATTAAAAACTTTAAACTATAAAATGTTTCCTATACAAAAATGAAGATGCCTAAAAACCTCAAATGTGTATGTTACAAGTTAGAAGCACCTTTCAGTAGCTATGCATGAAGAATGAACAAAATGCATCTCAAAAGATCTCATGTTTGAAACCACAAGCCCGGAGAAATACATAGTACCTAGCAAAACCGTCACGAGCCGGCCCAGACGACTTAACTTCCGAACAGCCTAACGAGTCACAGGATAATGGCCTGACAAAGTTCAGCTCTAAAAATATAAATGTCAGTGTATTTTCAACTTCGATCATAATCTTTCCTGTTTTAAGGCAGCTATCTGAAAGACCCATGCCAATTATCTTCAACTCTGGCCGGATGGTTCCATTTTAGTATTCAAGGCTTTCTGAAAATCCAAGAGTAATTTCCTTGAGGATTTGAACCAACTCCATTTCCAACTTTTATTTGGCTTAGGCGTCTTAAACAGGATAACCCTGAAGCTCCCCGAGCCTCACAACACATCCTAATTGAATCCAAATGCCTTCCCTAGTAACTACTGGGTCTTTGGAAAAGTCATGATGCATTTTCGCACAGGAGAACATAGAAAATACATCACGACTTTTCTGATGATCCAGTATTTCCAAGGCCAATTAATTTTGGCCAGAGGGGGTTGTCTGGTTTCCTTCTGATCAGAAAATCCTCTTTACGTGTCCTTAACCAGACCCACCACCTCTTGCCTAAGTGCCATATGACAAATGCCCTCTGGGTTAGGAAAACAGGCCTGCTTTTCCTACGTTAACCTACAGAGCGCAAGTGGCAGGTTAAAAAGACCTTCGAGTTGATGTGAAGCCTGAGGAACGCCTAGCCCACTAGCCCCAGCTCAAGCGACCGCAGACCCCACACCGAGCTATCCACCGCGAAGCCCGTGGAAACTGGCAGAAATGGGGAAGTGGTAGCCCATGGATGGTCCTAAATATTCCAATGTTAAGTGAAAACATGAAATAAGTAAGCCCCACGCAACAAGTTTGGTGAGTCACCTTCTCGAGAACTTACATAGAAGTTGTGAGCACAAAACGTTCGTTTCCTGAGCGGCAGGGGTGCCAGGACCCGCTGTCTATCTGGTTTAGTGCAGTATACTGACCCGTCCCCTACAGAATGCGAGGGGACAATAACCACTGAGAGAGAACACAGAAATGGGTCAGAGCCAGTAACAAAAGCAGAGGCTCCTCTAGCAGGGAAGAAATTAAAAAAACCAAAACACAGGGCTCAGGAAATGGGGACAGTGTGCACGTAGGCAGGGCCCACTGCGACAGAGACCCAACCACAGGGGCGAGACCCCAGCAGTCCTCCCTGGGGGTGAGGACCCAGAAGCCTCACGAAAGTTCTCAGTTGTGACTTGGAGCCGAAGGTCTTCTCGCTGGTGCTCCTTCCTCCTGTTTGGTACCTGTCCTGAGCTTAGGAGACCTGGCACCTGCTGGCTGGCAACAGAGTCTTCTCTGAACGACAGAAACAGAAATTCCCTGAGCTAGAAGGAACCACAGAGATAACCCAGCCCCTGCCAGTGATCAAGCTGCCAGTGCCTGTGACAGTCGAGGCACAGAGGATGGAGCGCCACAATGACAGGCATAGGGTGCTGTGGAGAGTGTCGACAGAAAGGCAGAAAGGTCACTGTGTTTAGAAAACGGGACTGATGGGACCAGCAGTTAGAGTAATGGCTATGTCGCTGGACTCCCACGTTGTCGACTGCGGTTCAAGTCCCGGACCCGGTGGCTTAAACTCACGCCGGGCGCGTGTGCGTGCGTGCCCAAGATCCCGAGAGGAGAATGGAGGAGAAGGGATTGCGGCATGGCCATCCCCCCTGGGGGGTGATTTCCTGCTTTCTGTCTCTCTGTCTCTCTCTGTCTGTCTGGCGAGCGCACGCGCCCTATAGCAAAAACCTCTCAAAAAAAAAAAAGAAAGAAAAAAGAAAATGGGACTCAAAGAGGCGAGACTGTGGTTGATTTGCAAACCAGGGAGACTGGAAGCAAACATGATTAAATCCCATCAAGTTCAATGTTAGGTCAATGCTTCCTTCACAAGGGAGTCTGCGTTCCAGCTTCAGAATGAACCCACAATTAGTAAAGAAGGGAAAACAAAGGACAAAACGCAGCTGTTTCCCATGTTCTTAAAGACAGTTACCACCGGGGATTCCTCACAATGCAAGAGGCTTAGGTTCTACACGGTGCGCCCCGGCACAGAGGTTGGGGGTCTCTCCCAGTTAACGAGATGAAGAATGGCAGCTCAACTGCACGCATGCTTTGGGCTGACCTCTGGTCAGCGACATCCACAGGCTTCGATACCAGGACCACAGAGCCTCGCTAATTCCCTGAGGGAGAAAACCAGTCATCACGAACTAGGATTGGCCAATTTAGACCAACCTCCGTATAAAATGGACAGAACAATCAAAACAAGTAAACCATACATGCCTCACCCTAAAACAAGAGCACACGAGGAAAAATATTACAAGAGAATGATTATGTCTACAGCTCCAAATTCCCCCTCGTCATGGTAGTGTGTTATCCTACTGACAATTTTATTTTTGCTTATCCAAATCCATATATTTTGCTATTAGAAAAAAGGTTTTGTTTTGAGAAAATAAGCTATTCAGCCATCCTTGATACAAGAGAGCATGTGAAATAAGCAACAGAACCACTCACCAGGTTTGTAGCAATCTCCAGAGCTTCCACATGCCTCCCCAGATGGGCCAGACACCGAGCTTGGCCTTCCTGGACATCCCTTTTCATGGCAAAATTAGTACATGACAATTTTTCAGAGATACTGGAATACTCCTCCAGTGCTTTCTGGAAATGGTTTATTAAATAAAGAAAAAAGAGGGTGACAAACATGACGGAAAAAAGGATTCAGCATAGGGATGGTTTTTTCCTAGGTACAAGGTAATCTGATCCAACAATGAACTGAAGACAGCTTAAGAACTTTTGTTTTTATACTTATTTATTTTTTTAAAAGTTTTTTTTTGCTACAGGGCACATGCGCTCGCCAGACAGAGATAGAGAGACAGAAAGCGAGAAATCACCCCCCAGGGGGGATGGCCACGCTACAATCCCTTCTCCTCCATTCTCCTCTCGGGATCCTGGGCACGTACACACACGAGCCTGGCATGAGTTTTAAGCCACTGGGGACACGAACTGCGGTCGACTACGTGGGAGTCCAGTGACATAGCCATTATGCTAACTGCTGGTCCCTATACTTGTTTATTTATTTTTAAAAGCTAGAAATGGAGGGCCAGTCGGTGGCTAAGGTGGCTGAAGCCCACGTGGCCAACTGCGCATTTCGAATTCCAGACCCAGCAGTTTGGTAAAGAAGCTGGGTACAAGTGTGTATGTGTACCCAAACTCCCAAGAAGAGAATGGAAGAGAAGGGACTGTGGTATGAACATCTACCCTTGAGACTACTTCATCGCTTTCCCTCTCTGTGTCTCTATCCAGCAAGAACATGTACCCTACAAAACATTTTTTTAAAAGAAAACAGAAAAGGTAGGGAAGGAATGGCTGAGACTATAACCATTATGACCAGGGAAAGTGTCACAACAGAGCAGAAAAAGCATTCTGCAGCCAATTAGACCAGGTTTTCAATCCTGGCCTTGCCACTAGTCTGATGTGTAACTTTTTTAGCAGCTACGAACAACTGGATTCGTGAAGATGAACTGAGATACACATGCAAAGCAACCTGGCCTCTGGTCGTTAGTACTGCCCTTTGCTTATACACGTAGGAGTGCTTTGTGGCGCTAAGTCCCCATTGGAGGCTCTCGGATAATGAGGAGATACTGAACCTGGGGAAACAGACCTATAAGGACCCCAGAAAATTCATCACAGCTATGGAAAAGTAAACAAATTATTGGGTTAACAGAAAAGTCATCACTTACTTTTGTTTTTTTTTTTTTTCCATAAAAACACACGTCATGACTTTTCTGACTACCCAATACATACAGCCACGAAGAAGAAGACAGAAACTTGGGGGTCTGAGATTACAAACACACATAACTAGGGAACCAGCAGTTAGCGTAATGGCTATGTCGCTGGACTCCCACGTAGTCGACCGCGGTTCGTGTCCCAGACCCGGTGGCTTAAAACTCACGCCTGGCGCGTGTGCGTGCGTGCCCAAGATCCCGAGAGGAGAATGGAGGAGAAGGGATTGCGGCGTGACCATCCCCCCTGGGGGGTGATTTCTCGCTTTCTGTCTCTATGTCTCTCTCTGTCTGTCTGGCGAGGGCACGCGCCCTACAGTAAAAATCTCTCCAAAAAAAAAAAACAAACACACATAACTAAAGATTAAACTGATCTTTGCACCAACACTCACAGGAGTTAGCACACTCACTTACATATGCTATAACTGATCAAACTAGCACAGTCTTATCTGTGCCGAATTCTACCTGATACTCTCGCTGTCTGTAGGCCAGGTCCCCTCTGAATTTCTTGAGAGTCAGGGCTTCGACCTCATCACTGCTCTCCGCTTCTTCGTAAAACCACTAGAAATCATGAAAACGGCAGATTATAGAGTGAATGAAGCTGTGCTTTTCCACATCATCACCTGGAGCCATTTCCCATAATACGATCAACTCTCAAAAGACTTACTTCTTCAGAATGAGACTCAGGGAAAACCATGTGACAAAAAACAATGATTTTGGTGACTGCCCAGTTTTTATTTTCACGTGCAATTAACATACCATAGTGCTCCCTCTCCAAAAAAAGAGCATGGTGCATATAGTTTCATCTACAGCCTTCTCAGCCTGGGGCTGTGGAATCTGGACCCTATACTTATCTAGTACAGTTCACACTGGTTTTCAAAATGGGATCTACTGGGACCAGCAGATGGCGTAATGACTATGTCACTGGACTCCCATGTAGTCAGTCGATCGTGGTTTGAGTCCCGGACTCAGTGGCTTAAACTCATGCTGGGGGCATGTGCATGTGTGCCCAAGATCCCGAGAGAATGGAGGAGAAGGGATTGTGGCGTGGCCATCCCCCGTGGGGGGGGTGATTTCTCACTGTCTCTCTGTCTTTCTGGTGAGTGCATGTGCCCTATGGCAAAAACTTCTCCAAAAAAAAAAAAAAAAAAAAAGGGACCTATTTTTAGGTGGCGTGGTGGTTAAGGTGCTGGATTCCCACATGGTTGACCATGGTCTGAGTCCCGAACCCAGGGGCTTGAAAATCACGCCATGCATATGTGCATGCATGCCCAAAATCCCAAGAGGAGAATGGATTGTGCGGTGACTAGCCCCCCAGGGGGTGACTTCTCACTTTCTTTCTGGTGAGTACACGTTCCCTATGTAAAAATCTGAAAGAAAGGGGGGAGGTCTATTTTCTCGTAAAGAAATCTAGAATAGATGGAATAGGGATTGACAATTCTTTATGGGAAAGCCATGGGAACGAATTACGGTTATGGTGTTACTATCAAAATGTTTTGAAGGCCAAGAAAAAGGAATCCAAGCAAAGAAAGGGATAGAAATTGAGGCTGAAAGGAGGCTTTAATGCAATCAAATATGGAAGACCTAGACAAGAAAAGTCTAAGGAAAAGCCCATTTTAAACTCTCTCTCTCTTTTTTTTAAAGAGGTTTCTACCTTAGGGCACATGTACTCACCAGAGAGAGGAAGAGACAGAGACAGTGAGAGGGAAAACGAGAAAGTACGGTCACACAGCAATCCTTTCTCCTCTATTCTCCTTCCAGGATTTTGGGCACACACGCACCCAGCATGAGTTTCAAGTCACCAGATCTGGGATTCGAACAGCAGTTGGCCATGTGGAAGTCCAGTGATGTTACTGCTACACCATCTGCTGGCTCCCCATTTGGGAGCTTTATTAGCTTTTTGTGTGTATTTAAATGCCATGGCTAGAAAGGAAAGTGAGACATGAGAAAAAGCAGTTGGTGTGCACATTCATCCTGCTCCAAGGTGTCTCATACCCTCTTACAGGAAAGCACACTGAGGCTGAAGGAAGCCGATCCCAGCTAAACACGATACTGGGTCGTCAGGAGAGTCATGACACATTTGGCTTAGCAAAACAGAGAAAAATACATCATGACATTCCTTGACAGCCTAATTCATTTTTTTAAAATAATTATTTAATTTTATTTATTCATTCATTTATTTTAATTTGACCAGACAGAGACACAGAGAGAGAGAGAGAGAGGGAAAGTGAGAAAGCAAGCCACCAGGTCCAGTATTTGAACCACAGTTGGCCATGTGGGAGTGTCCAGCGCCTTAACCACCACGCCACCTGCTGGCCCCGAGCCTAATTCATTTGTGATGGCTCTACCATCACATCAAAATTGCTTCATTTTATTTTTCTTTCTTTCTTTCTTTTTTTGAGAGGATTTTTGCTATAGGACGCAAGAGATAGAGAGAAAGAAAGCAAGAAATCGCCCCTCCCCGGGGGGATGGCCACGCCACAGTCTTGTCTTCTCCATTCTCCTCTCGGGATCTTGGGCATGCACACACACACGCCCAGCCCAGCGTGAATTTTAAGCTGCTGGGTCCGGGACTTAAAGTGTGGTCAACTATGTGGAAGTCTAGTGATGTAACCATTATGCCATCTGCTGGTCCCTTATTTATTTATTTCTTTTCTTAGAGAGAGATTTTGCTACTAGGGTTTGTGCACTCAATGCGAGACAGACAGAAAGCGAGAAATCACCCCCTGGGGGGATGGCCGCGCTGCAATCCCTTCTCCTCCATTCTCCTTTCAGGATCTTGGGCACACATGCACACGTACCCAGCGTGAATGTCAAGCTGCTGGGTCCAGGCCTGGGTTGGACCCTAGCTACGTGGGAGTCTCATGCCTCAACAACTCGCCCACCCCACTTGGTTCTGTTTCTGAAAGAGTCACCTAAGTATCAACCACCTCCAGTTACCTTAGTAAAATTCTTTTTTCTCCTTGGCCTGATCCATCCCAGTGGGGAAAGCTGGGAAGCAGCTTCTCTGTTCTCTCAGTAACTCAAGTCTAAGCACTTAAGCCATCACACCTTTAAACTCTACAGTCGCATCCTACTTTACACTAGCCAGTCTCAAATTTCTGCGTAATAACTACACAGTTATCATCCTTCATCATACGGTCATTATTTGGTGAGCCGGGAAATGGTCAAGCAAAAAGTGTTCCAAATGATTACTTTTATCCCTCTACCCACTGCAGGCCTGCAAGAATCCAGACAGGGGATGTCTTTAAATCCCTCTCTAATGATAGAAAGGAAGGAAGAACTGTGAAGGGTGGGACTGAGGTCCAGGGCAGGCCAAGGCAGACAGGTGACCAGGCACGGACAACAGGCAGGACTAACCCAAACTCTCGGTATTACTCCTAGGGATTGAATCCAGCACGGCTTGGAATAAGGCCTCTTAGAGTTGGTTTATGAGCAGTGCGTTTTTTTCTTTTTTTTGTTTGTTTGTTTTTTAAGAGGTTTTTGCTATGGGGCACGTGCGCTCACCAGACAGAGAGGGACAGGGAGACAGAAAGCGAAAAATCATCCCCCAGGGGGGATGGCCATCCCACAATCCTTCTCCTCCATTCTCCTCTCAGGATCTTGGGCTCGCATGCACAGGCGCCCGGCGTGATTTTAAACCACTGGGTCTGGGACTCGAACCGCGGCTGACCATATGGGAGTCCAGCAACATAGCCATTGTGCCAACTGCTGGTCCCAGCAGTGCGTTCTCATATTCACACAGCAAAGGAACTGGTAAGTCAAGTGAGCTGGGGGGTTTTACCATAAGCACAGAGCACATCTTACCAGGCCAAGGACTTTCATATCCATCATCTCACTTCGCTCTCAACATAACCCTGGAGCCACCAAGTATTCTGTTTGCCAAATAAGAAACTGACAGCGTGAAAGGCAGATGGTAAAGCCAACACCAGAATTCAAGGGTCCTACCTCACAGCCCGAGCTTTTTTATGCTCTACCACGACTTCCCAAGCCCAGTCCCTGTTTCTAGCCTACTGAGAGGAGCACCAGCAATAACTGAAAGACAGCAAGTGGTGGGAGGAGAATGCAGCTGGGATCAAACATGCACGCACTTTGCTCATTACCAAGTGCCTGGCATCTGTGCCTACAATCGTGGTTAGCAGACCAGCACCGGGCCTGGGATACTTCGTACTTCATAAATACTAGCTGTTCGTGGTGAGATGAGAATCGCACTCATGAATGATACCAAGATTGCTTGCATAGTCACTCTACCTCTCAAGGAGTTCCTATTACGAGCAAAACCGGCTAGGCACTGCAGAGGGCATCAAGTTAAGAACCCGCTCTCAGGTGATCATTTAGCCCTTCGGGTCTAGGGGCCTTATGGGAACACTGACGAGTGCTTTAATAGAAGCTATAAGGTGGGAAGACGGACAAAGATTGAAAAACTTGGTTAGAAAAGGGACTCAGACGACTTCCTGGAAGAGGCAGCATTTACAGTGTGTCCTGAGAATCGGCTATAACCTGAGTCTGACGGTCAGGGCAGAGCTGGCGTGGGCGGGGAGTTCACCCGGCACGGGCGTACTGCAGGGCCAGGGAAGGCCAAGGGGAGCCTTGGAGCTTTCAGGGCTGGGGCGAACCTCCGCCAGGCTTACAGAACGCCCGGCGGGAGTCGAACCGCCGGCACCGCATTGGTTTGGCGTACAGGCCCCGGATGTGGTTCGGGAACGCGGCTGCTCCGTGCAGGGGGCGGGAGGACCTGCGTGGGAACAGGCTCGGGCGGATAGGGCTGCACGCAGAAGCCAGGGTCAGGATCCGGCGCTGTTGGGTTGGACCGCGGAGGGCGAGGCCGGGGTTCGGGGCAAGACGAGCAGGTCCCGTGCTCTCACCTGCGGCTCGCAGCGCCTGGCGCGGGAGCGCACAGGC